TCTCCAGGGGGCGCAAGCGGCTGACGGAGACGTAGTGGTAATCGCTGCCCTCAGCATTGAGCACGTAGCCAGGCAGGGTCATTCTCCGAAACTCCTGTAACACAGAGCCCACGAGAGTGCACTGCAAGGGGGGCCGGGCACTGACGACGGCAGAGCAGAGAGCACACTGGGCATGCACATGGGGGGGTGGGGCTGGGCATTGCCAAGGGCAGAGCAGAGAACACGCTGGGCATGCCCATGGGGGGTGGGGCGGGGCACATCGGCAGGGGCCGTGAGGCTCTCACCTCTTTGAACTTCTCCAAGGAGTGCTCGGGCCCGAAGACGAACTGCAACGGCACCACCTCGCTGTGGCAGCTAGGCCTCCCCTGGGAGCTGTAGACGTGGGTGGCGACCCGTTCCAGGATGGAGGTGCTGACCGCCTGCGAATGGCGCAGTGCAGACACCATCTCATCATCCAGAAGCCAGCGGATCTAAGGGCCAAGGACACGATGTGGGTGACCTGTGCCCACACTCCCCACCATGCACCCTGGGCCTCTATCTCCCTCCCCAGCCATGCCCACTGGTGGCCAGAGGTCAGAGACCCTCCTGCACCAACCCCAGGCCTTGGCTGGATTCAGACAGACTTGCCCAGCAGCTGGGCAGCACAGCCAGTGTCCTGTGCGTCCTCAGCACAGCCTGGGGCCTGCTCTCAGCATGCAGCCTGCTGCAGGCAGCAAAGGTCCCCGCACTGGGACACGCTTGGCTGGGCGAGAAGGCGGCACTGCAGTGACCCAGGGAGGGCACCCAGGGCTCACCTCATTCATGGTGGCTTCGACAGCTTGTCTGTGTACCCCTGGGAGGTTGGAGAGCGCTGGATGCCTACAAGAGAGGGAAGAGTGGGTTCATTCTCCCGCGCTCCTGCACTGCAGCCGAGCACGGAGCCCAGCTGCCAGCCCAAGGGGTGTAGTACCTCTCGCCTCCCGTAGACGGCAGCCGGTCCAGGTTGTGCATGATCTCCTCGTCAGAGCGAAAGGAGGAGGGCTGCCCGGGCGAGCGGGTGAAGGAGATGCTGCTCTCAGACGTGTA